AGAAAACTCCAGGCCCAGAGGACTTCACTTATGAATTATACCAAACGTTGACGGAAAAAATGGTATCAATCTTATATCAACTCTTTTAGAAAACAGAAGAGAATGGAACACTTTCCAACTCATTATGTATGGCCAGTATAATTCTGATATCAAAAGCTGACAAAGGCCGGGCGCTGTGGCTCACGCCTGTAATCCTAGCTCTTGGGAGGCCGAGGCGGGCGGATTGCTCAAGGTCAGGAGTTCAAAACCAGCCTGAGCAAGAGCGAGACCCCGTCTCTACTATAAATAGGAAATTAGCCGGACAACTAAAAATATATATAAAAAATTAGCCGGGCATGGTGGCGCATGCCTGTAGTCCCAGCTACCTGGGAGGCTGAGGCAGAAGGATCACTCGAGCCCAGGAGTTTGAGGTTGCTGTGAGCTAGGCTGACGCCACAGCACTCACTCTAGCCTGGGCAACAAAGTGAGACTCTGTCTCAAAAAAAAAAAAAAAAAAAGCTGACAAACACTTCACTAAAAAGGATATTATAAATCAACATGATCCGTAAACATAGATGCAGAAATCCTTAACAATATATTAGTAAATTAAACCCAGCAGTGCATAAAAAGGATAATACATCATGATCAAACAGGGTTTATCCCCAAAATGCAAGGTTGATTTACTATTGGAAAATTCAATGTAATCTACCGTATAATAGTTCAAATAAAGAGAGAAACCATATGACTTTCTCAATAATCACCAAAAAAAGCGTTTGACAAAATTTGTCCCCATTCAGGATAAAAACCTTTAGTAAGCAAGAAATAGAAAGGAGATTTCTCAAACTGATAAATATCTATAAAAATATCTATCATTAACACCATACTTCATGGTCAAACACTGATTTTAAGATCAGGAACAAATGGCAAGGATATCTGCTGTCTCACTTGTGTTTGACCTTGAACAGAGCAATCAGGAGAGAAAGTGTAAGAAAACAAAAATACATAAAAGGCATAATGCCACCGGGCAAGGTGGCTCATGCCTGTAATCCTAGCACTCTGGGAGGCCGAGGCCGGTGGATTGCTCGAGGTCAGGAGTTCAAAACCAGGCTGAGCAAGAGGGAGACTCCGTCTCTACTATAAATAGAAAGAAATTAATTGGCCAGCTAATATATATAGAAAAAAATTAGCTGGGCATGGTGGCACATGCCTGTAGTCCCAGCTACTTGGGAGGCTGAGGCAGTAGGATCACTCGAGCCCAGGAGTTTGAGGTTGCTGTGAGCTAGGCTGATGCCACAGCACTCACTCTAGCCTGGGTAACAAAGTGAGACTCTGTCTCAAAAAAAAAAAAAAAAAAAAGGCATAACAAAAAAATTGTTCCTATTTATAATTAATACATTGCTTACACTGAAAACTGTAAGTGGGAAAATCCCACAGGAATTAATAAATGAGTTTAGCTAGGTCTCAGAAGACAAGGAGTTAATAATGCATAAAAATTAAGTATACTTTTTTCATACGAGCAGCAATTGGAAAACTTTAAGAAGTATTTCATTTATAAAAGCATCAAAAAATAAAATGCTAAGGAATAAATTTAACAATAAACATGCAATATCTATAGATTGCTGAGAGAAATTATATACCACCTAAATAAATGGAGAAACATATCATGTTCATGGATTGAAAGACTCAATATTATTATTTTTGTGTGTGTGTGTGTAGTCTCCTCCTTTTCTGCAGACTCAATATTATTAGATGTTAATTATCCCCAAACTGATATATAGATGCCATACAATCCTAATCATAAACCCATCAGGCTTTTTTGGAGAAAGTGAGAAATTGATTCTAAAATTCCTATGGAAACACGAAGGACCTAAAACAGCCAAAGTCATTTTGAAAGGGAAGAATGAAGCAGGAAAACTTACAATACTGCGTGATTTTAAGATTACAGAGGTACATAATCAAGACAGTATGGTATTGGCATAAAGATGGATTAATACATTAATGGAACAGAGAGTCCAGAAATAGACTCTTTTTTTTTTTTTTTTTTTGTCTAGAAAACCCCAAGGACAGAAATAGACTCTTGTTCATACCATCAATCGATTTTTGATAAAAGTGCCAAAGCTGGTCAATGATTAAAGTCTTTTCAATAAATCATGTGAGAACAACTGAATATCCATATGAGGGAGGAAAAATAAAAGGATCTTGAATCCCCTACCTCACACCATATACAAAAATTAATTTGCGAAGAATCACAGTCCTAAAAGTGAAAGCTTCTAGAACACTGGAGAATATTTCATGATCAAGGAATTATTCAAAGATTTATTAGAAAGGACATCTGTTGGTGAGGATATGCAGCAACCATAACTCTAATACATTGCTGGTGGAGATGTATAATAAAATAGTACAATACTTTGGAGAAAGGTTCAGTAGTTTTTTATAAAGTTAAATATTCACCTATTTTTTGACTTAGCAATTGCACCTCTAGGTATTTATCCAAGAGCAATGAAAACACACACTCATAAAAACTCTTGTACAAGAATGTTCATAGCAGCTTTAGTTATGAGAGTTAAAACCTGGAAACAATTCAATGTCCGTCAACAAGACAATGGAAAAACATATTATGGTACAGGAATTCAGTATATGGAATATTCAGCAACGAAAAGGAATGAATTACCATTACATAAAACCACACCAATCTCAAATACATAATGTTCAGCAGAAGCCAGATACAGAGGAGTAACATACCACATCACTCTAGTCATATAAACTAAGCTTTAGAACTGGCAAAACTAATCTAGTGTTAAAAAAAAAAATTAAAACAGTTGTCTGAGGTAGACAAGAGACACTGGCACAGGACAGGAGAGAACTTTCTGGAGACATGGAAATGATCTATTTTGCATAGATGTATTTGTGGCATTTCAATATATGTAAATTTTACCAAAAAACTTAAAAAACAAAAAAACTTGCGTGTGGAATGAGGAATGGCTGGAAGAATATGAAACAAAAATGGCAAAATGTTTATAAGTGTTAAAGCTAGGTGATGGGTCCACGGGTGTTCAATATATTATCCAGGTTTAATTTGAGTTGACATAATAAAAAGTAAAACAAAACAAAACTTACAGGTTTTAGTTGAGAACAAGTTAAACAAGTCAAAGTGTTTTTTGTAGTTGCCATCACCAAGGGGGGAAAAAGTTACTGTAATTTCCTTTAGCATTGAACACAGGTGTTGTCACTGGTATGAGTGCAATGAATACAGTATTAATAGTTCCTGTCTATGCTCTGTGTCCAGATTAAAGGAAGGATGGTGGGACAAGCAGGGAATTGGGGGGTGGAGGGTGGCACAGAAATAAAGCAAGGAGAATGGTAAGGATAACTTAGTATTACACTCTATGAAGAACTAAGAAAGGCCGGGCGCGGTGGCTCACACCTGTAATCCTAACACTCTGGGAGGACAAGGCGGGCGAATTGCTCAACATCAGGAGCTCGAAACCAGCCTAAGCGAGACCCCGTTTCTACTATAAATAGAAAGAAATTAATTGGCCAACTAATATATATAGAAAAAATCAGCCGGGCATGGTGGTGCATGTCTGTAGTCCCAGCTACTCGGTAGGCTGAGGCAGGAGGATTGCTTGACCCCAGGAGATTGAGGTTGCTGTGAGCTAGGCTGCCGCCATGGCACTCACTCTAGCCTGGGCAACAAAGTGAGACTGTCTCAAAAAAAAAAAAAAAAAAAAAAAAAAACCAAAAAAAAAAACCCTAAGAAAATGTATTAGTCATGATGACTCTCAACTTTCTTTTACTATCTGAGCACTACCACTATTGCATTTGTACAGCTAAGAGGCATTAAAGAGAAAGTGGGTGGAAGTTTCGGGAAGAGTTTTTCAGCTCCATAAAAAGAACAACGGTCATGCAAAGGGGCTGCTTCTGGAATTAAAAATGTCCCTACCCATGGAATGTTCAAGTACAAGTTGGAGATTTGCACACTGGCAACATCCACTAGAAAAAAACAGCGACTACAGTTCCTACTAGCACAGAAATTTTGCAGTTAACTACTTTCTCTTATTTTAACCCAAATTCAAAAACAGAAGTGCAGGGTTCTGTGGGCGTTGTGGGATTTTTTAAAAAGAAGAATTCTGCCGAAATGCAGTGTCATGATAAAAACTGTAATAAAGCTACAGACCCCAAACTTAATATTTTGGCTCACAGTTATGCACAGTATGCAAGTAACATTTTTGAAAATTACCATTAGTGTGACAGAATCAAAGTATAAGACAGAAACCTTATCTCAAAAAGCCTTACAATTTAACTACAAAGGCAAGACATGCCTGAAAAATTACGTAGTAGTATTTGGTTAAGTGCCAGAAGAGAGTACAGAGAAAACGTACTATGAAATAGAAAGAACATTCTTCTGGGGTGATTTCGGCAGGTTGCCTTGAGGTTGGGGAACTTGAAATAGGGCTAAAAGAACAGACAGGAAGAAAATGGGGTGGAAAGCAGGCAGGCACTTCCAGGGCAAAGGAACAGGATAAAGCAAGCAAAGTGATGAAATAACTTGAAAATAAACCTGAATTTTGTCTCCGGAAAACCCCCAACAGCCTTCAAACGCCTCTGTCTGGCTCTCCTATCAATTTCTTCCCAAAACTTTAGGTCAGTGATTTTCAAAGTGGTCCTTGAACAAGCAGCATCACCAACCTTCTGGGAACCTGAACTGCCAGCTCTGGGGACTCACCTTGAGTCAGGAAGTGGGGCAGCAATCTTTTAATAAGTGCTTTAGGTGACTGATGCACGCTCAAGTTTGAAAACCACTCATCTTGCGCTACCTGCTAAGCACAACGCTTCGCACCGGAAAGTGATGATGTTCTGAGTGCCTAACTCAGCCACTCCGCAGGGCGTAGGCAGCTGAAAGAAGGTCCCAATTTCACTTTCTCCTCCAGAATACCTTCTCCCACTCACTAGCCCCTGTGCCAGCTTCTTCCGCATTACTTTACCCTCAGAGGGCCTGCTCCGCCCCTCGGTCGCCCTACCTCAGTGTCAGAGTGGACGTGGTGCCGGCAGGGAGGGGAACTGCCCAAGGAGACAGGAACAGATTCGACGCTTGCCCGGAGCCCTTCCAACAGGAGTAAAATGCCTTGGACCCAAAAAGAACTGTTCCAGCGCCACCGGCTCCGGCCCGGCCCTGAACCCAAGTAACCCGCTCCTCCACCCCACTCGGCCGCCATCTTCGGGCCGAGCGTCGTTACCATGGAGTGCGTGACGCCTCCGCGCCGGGCGCCAGCCCCACCCCCTCGCCGCTCGGGGCAGGTGGAGGGACTAGCCGGCGGAGATGGCTGTCGATTGGCTAGCATCATCCGCAAGAAGTTCACAGCGGTATATAAGGGCAGCGATCACGTCCATCGCGTCTCATTGCGCGAAGCCGGCCAATAAATGCTGTTTAGTGGCCCACGTGAGTTGGGTTGTGGGGGAAAGACAGGCATGCAGAAGTTGTTGGTAGACGGATAGTGGTTGGTATGTGGAGGTCTTGGGCAGTTCTCATCCTTTAATTCACTCATTTACCAAACGGATATGCACCTGCTAGGTATCATATATTGAGATGGACAAACAGCTGTAAAATCTTTTATGGTATAGTCGTCTGTATGAAAGGTGAGTGGAACATAATTTTCATTTACTTCTTGTCCTGAGTCACCAACTTTAGGTCCATTTCTTAACGTCATTGCCTATGAAATCTACGTGTCCCTTACTGTTTTACTCAACTCCACCCTTTAGCTTCTTATCTGCCACTGCATCCAAGGAGATCAGGCGGACCCTGGCTTCTAAGGAAACTCTACCTTCAAAATTGAGCCCTGAGGAACTGGAAAAATTGAAAATCGGGACAGATACCTTTGTGGCTTATGAAACAAAAGAACTAAAACTAAGAACTTGGACACACTTAAAGCTCTGATTCAAGGGGGAGAGGGGGCAAGGGAAATACACGTTACCTTAACATTTGTACCCCCATAATATGCTGGGGGGGGGAATTAAAAAACAAAAAACTAAGAACTGGGCTGGATGTGGTGCCTCACGCCTGTAATCCTAACACTCTTGGAGGCCAAGGCGGGAGGATCGCTTGAGGCCAGGAGTTTGAGACCAGCCTGAGCAAGAGCGAGACGCTGTCTGTACTAAAAATAGAAAAATTAATTGACCAACTAAAAATACATAGAAAAAATTAGCCGGACATGGTGGCGCATGCCTGTAGTCCCAGCTACTAGAGAGGCTGAGGCAGTAAGATCGCTTGAGCCCAGGAGTTTGAGGTTGCTGTGAGCTAAGCTGACGAGAGGGCACTCACTCTAGCCTGGGCAACAGAGTGAGGCTCTGTCTCAAAAAAAAAAAAAGAACTGGAACTGCCATTCTACAGGAATTAAATATTATAAATTACTATACTAGGAAATGAAGTGGTAGAAAAGAAAGTAAACCATCAAGAATTTACAATCTATTGAAGATTGTGTACTCAAATGCTACCACGGTACCATTTTACAAGACTTAAATGAGTAAATATAATGTGTTTTGTGTCTATCATCCCACAACTAGTGGAAGTTGGGATTCCAAACCAAAGTTTTAACTTAGAAATACGCTCTTTCCACTACAGGACCCAAAAGAAATTTCTGATTGTGAACAATGTAACCAACCTGTCATCTCAAGCTCCTGGCTCTAACAGTAGTGTCATGCTCAGAGAGGTTTTTTAAATGGAATAGTGGACAAGCTGCCAGCCATGCAAGCTTGTTTCTGTAAACTATGGGACTCCTCCAATGGCAATTTTGGTTTGAGTACTTTTTGACCGACTTAACTTCGGTATGGGAATGGAAAAAACATAATGCACCCTTATTTACAAGTACTGCATCTCATTTATCCACCCCTATTGATCACCTACCATCTATCCCACGCAGAGCACAAACTGAACTACTACAATGGTGATGGGCATTGAAGACTTTCCCCCTGTATGCCTAAGCCAGACCTGAAAAAATCACCTACCTTCCTGGACACATCCAGCTTAACATCCTACACTATACATTAACTTTTTTTTTTTTTTTTGAGACAGAGTCTCACTTTGTTGCCCAGGCTAGAGTGAGTGCCATGGCGTCAGCCTCGCTCACAGCAACCTCAATCTCCTGGGCTCAGGCGATCCTCTGCCTCAGCCTCCCGAGTAGCTGGGACTACAGGCATGCGCCACCATGCCCGGCCAATTTTTTGTATATATATTTTTAGTTGGTCAATTAATTTCTTTCTATTTTTGGTAGAGACGGAGTCTCCCTCAGGCTGGTTTCGAACTCCTGACCTTGAGCAATCCGCCCGCCTCAGCCTCACAAAGTGCTAGGATTACAGGCGTGAGCCACCGCGCCCGGCGTACATTAACTTTTGTTTCTCCCCCAAACTCATTTCCTGGTTCCCCAACTTTGCAAATGCACCATCACCCATCTAACCACAAAGCCAGGAACAGGTTATACTTGATGCCAATCCTCCACAATCAACTTTTGAAATCCTACCATTAATGTTTATGGAATCTGCTATTTCAGTGCTTAGAAATCTCAATTTGAGACTGAAGAGCCTCATTTTCCCTTCATTTTATGCTGGGCTAACACTGGGGTCTAAAAGATTAATCTGGTCATTTCTGTGAATCAAGTTTTTTGATGACACTATTACAAGGACAATATTAAGCCTAAAATCCTGCCTATTAAACAGACTTTATAACATGGCATTTCTTAGTATTCTAGGTTTCCTTTCCCATCATTCAGTTTGACTGGCTCCTCAAATGCTTTCTGCACTAGTAAGATCTTTGTGCCATTTCCTTTTTCTTAGACACCTCCCAAGGTATTTCTCCTTCTACACATACTTTGTAGTCTAATAGTAACATAGTCAATATACATTTACATGCTTCTATCCCTGACTACCCTGAGTGTACTGATTATATCTACTTAATTGGCACAATAAACACAGTAGGTACTTTTAGTTTATGTTGGCTTTTTGGAAAAATTAAATCTCACAGGTTGTTCAAAATTAGGACTTCCAGCCCTTGACTCCAAAACTTCCAAGGGTTCAATTTCCTTAGGGTTCTAATTACCAAAAAACAAATTTTTTTGTTGCCCAGGCTAAAGTGCCGCGACATCAGCCTAGCTCACAGCAACCTCAAACTCCTGGGCTCAAGCAATCCTCTTGCCTACGCGGGGACTATGGGCATGAGCCACCATGTGCGGCTAATTTCTATTTTTTTAGTAGAGACGAGTTATCGCTCTTGCTCAGGATGGTCTCAAACTCCTGAGCTCAAATGATCCTCCCACCTCAGCCTCCCAGAGTGCTAGGATTGCAGGTGTATGCCAGCACACCCAGCCGTAATTACCAAATTCTAACTTGTGCTGGACATGAAATACACTGCTCACATCTGAAGAAAGCCTAATTGACCAATGGCCCCAAGCAGCTGCTTCTTCTAATGCACTTTGCCTTGAAGCCACAATTCCAATGAACTCAGACTGGAAAGGGTACAAATACAAGCCGGTTTCCATGCAACATGGGATTCCTACAATGGTGATTTTGGCTTGAGTACAACTACTGGACTGATGACATCTTTCTTCAAATTCCTACCCAATTCTTTCTTTCGCCCTCTCCTTCAAAGGTTTTTCCCCCCCAGTAAATTTCTAGCATGCTAATCCTTTTTCAGTATCTGACAAGAGAACCCAAATACATTATCAGGACTGTAAAAGAGGCTCAAGGTTGGCAAACTACCAGTTTCCTATTGACATTTTCAGTAGAATCCATCTATTTTAATTTTTATGCCACAAGTGTGGTAGGCATTCAGTAGAATTTAAAGATTTGTTAGTTAATAAAAAAACTAATTGCTACTGCATCAATTAGAAATCTACAACCATATTGGAAGTTGATGCCTTAGTTCAAAACAGTATCTTAGTAAATCCTAAAGAGATTTAAATATTCTGGAGCATTGCTTAAATCTCTGAAATATGGTAAAATGTTAACCTTGCACTGTACTACCTTGAAACATGAAGCCAAGGTAATCTACACATCCATGCATTACTTCCTATCATACTTCCTTTTTCTAAGGTGGAAACATATGGTTTAATTGATATTTTCAGTCTGCATATTCCTCAGTCAATTGTAGTATATTGGAATGCTCTGTCCAGTCATAAATTCAGAGGATATCTCATCTGCCTATCTAAATGATCTGCCAAATCCTTCAATATAACCTCTATCCAAATTATTCCCAGTTCCTACTTTTAAGCTTCCCATCCAATTTACATAGAACAAGTACATATTACAATGTACTTTAAGAAATACTTTTAAGCTTATTTCACTTACTCTCAATCTAATGAAGAAGGCAGTCACCTTTCCACTTTCCCCAAAACTTACTTCCTCCCCTGAAGTCCCGTGTTAAGATACATTAAAGCCTCTGATTTTCTTTCACAGGCCCCATGCAGGAAAAAAAGAACTGTTACCTTCTAAATCTCTGTACTTGCCCTGTAATTGCCATTTTACAATTGACAATTGTACTCTGAAAGTGTTTGATAATCTCCACCATGTTAAACATATAGAAACTCAATTTAGGGCAATTAAGTTTTTTTATGCCACTTAACAAAAAATACAAGAATACAAATCCACTTTTATTTATTTACTTTTCATCAGTTTAAATTCTTGAGGGATACAGCATCTGGGGGAAAAAAACATATAGAAACATTAGGTGAATGTTATATACAAATTTACAAATATTAGTACCACAATATGGATAAATCTCCTCCCATTATCCCATTACTCATCTCCAAAAGTCAACCAGTTACCATTCTGGTGGTGAAAGAATTAAGTTTTTCTTTGTTTTTTGAGACAGGTTCCTGCTCTGTCACCCAGACTAGAGTGCAGAGGCACAATGATAGTTCACTGCAACCTCAAACTCTAGGGCTCAAGTGATCCTTCTGCTTCAATCTCTCCCAAGTAGCTTAACCTACAGATGCATACCACTATAACCAGCTAATTTTTCTATTTTTAGTAAAGGTAAAGTCTTGCTGTGTTGCTCAGGCTGGTCTCAAGCCATCTTCCTGCCTCGGCCTCCCAAAGTGCTAGGAATACAGGCATGAGCCAAGGTGACTAGCTGGAACTAAGTTTTTATAGCCTAAGTTTTTTATAGCCTCAGTTTCAAGGCGAACATACCATAAGAACCAGCACTAAAATGATTACTAAAGATAAATTTAATTTTGCTTCTACTAAAAATGGAATATAAACTATCTCTTCTGATAATGGCTGGACACGGTGGCTCATGCCTGTAATCCTAACATTCTGGGAGGCCGAGGCAGGCGGATCGCTCAAGGTGAGGAGTTCAAAACCAGCCCGAGCAAGAGCGAGACCCTGTGTCTACTATGAATAGAAAGAAATCAATCAGCCAACTAAAAATATATATAGAAAAAATTAGCCGGGCACAGTGGCACGTGCCTGTAGTCCCAGCTACTCAGGAAGCTGAGGCAGAGGATTGCTTAAACCCAAGAGTTTAAGGTTGCTGTGAGCTAGGCTAACGCCACTGCACTCTAGCCCGGGCAACAAAGTGAGACTGTCTCAAAAAAAAAACAACAACAAAAAAAACAAAAAACTATCTCCTCTGAATATAAACCCACTCATGTTGTAGGCTGAGCTGTACCACTCAGCAGGGTTCAACAGTACTCCAAGAATATGTTCTACTAAAAATGAGCCCTAACGAAAGAAAAAGCAAGAGATATTTGAAAAAGTCACAGGATCTGGAGTCCATGACTTGGGCTGAAGTCCTGAGATCTAGCAACATGAGCATTTATTTCTTTCCTGTACAAAATAAAGCTAATGACACCTATTCTAATAGGATTGACATGATGGAGATGGGAAAATATTAAGAATTATGCCAAGAAAAGTATGTTGGCTTTTTATTTTCTAGTAATTACTTCAGTGCCCAAAAAATATCTTTGCCAGAAAAAGTGTTCATTCAAACACCATTTTCCCCCAGGCAGCTTTAGCAAAATCTGAAATTTAGGCACAGTCCATTTGAACACCTTGCTTTCATCTTCCTAATATGCATTTACACAGTAATTGCTAATTTTGCAGCCCAATTTACTGGTGTCATTTTATAATCACAAAAGTTCTTAGAGCTCATTGAGCTTAGTGTTTGACACAACAGATGACCATTTTGCTAATAATCATACTTACCACACGGATTCTGTGTCCAATGGCCTTAGCAGGAAGGTTGCTTCGGAATTTGGCACGAACCATGCCACTGTTTCCGTGGGCCCGAGTTACTTTTCCCCAGATTACTCTGGTTTTGTTTGGTTTGCCACCAGGAGTCACTGTGTTGCTGATTGTAAAAAAGGATAATTGAGGTGTGAGAACTCAGGTATCCAATAGTTTTGATACAAATTCAAGGTGACCCCTAGACCAGTGGTTCTCAACCCTGGTCACCCATTTAATCGCACCTACTGTATGCCAGCCACTTTTGTAAAAAAAAAAAAAAAAACTCTTTGTCAGATGGTAAGAGCTGCAATATTGCAAAAAATAGCAAAGAAACACAAGAATTGTGAGGATGTTTGTGTGTAGAGAAAAGAGTAATTGTTTGTGATTTTAAATATTAAATAGCCAAGGAAGTTCTCACTGAGGTGGTAAAGGAACAAAAACCATAGACTACTAGTGCAAGCAGAGCAAATAGTTAAGTGCTAAAGAAATGAGATGGAAGTGTCCTGGCTTGGGGAAAGATTGTAGATACCCAAGAGAATCCTAGCTGGATAAGAGAAATAAGGAACCCTAAACGCATGGGGTCTTAGAGGCCCCTTAATGACTTTGGCTTTTACTGAATGAGACAAACCACTGGGGTTTGAGCAATTTAAGCATGCAGACCTATAATTTTAAAGGAACACTCCAGCTGTAGGAGAAAAGGGGAGCAAGGATGAAAGCACTTCCCCAGAGATTTTAACTGGCCTAGAGTGGGTTAAGAGCCCAGGATTAATGTACAGATACACTAACATCTTTAAACATGTATAAAAAATATAGTTTTAAGAAATTAACGAAATTTATTAAGGTACACGAAAAGTGCTCTATAAAACTTTAAAAGGATAATAAGGAATTAGATCCTTATTATTTTCTAAATGCTGAAGATAGGTAGGTCCAACACCACCCACGAGAGTAACATCCTTCTATAACCTCCTATGAAGATCCTTAAAGGCCCAGAGTAGACGCCACAATATCAATCACTTGATTAACATCTTTTATTCTTTCAATAGAAAAATTAGAGAGTTCTCTCAAGTAAAAACTCAGAAACATTATTATAAACTTACTTCTTTGCTTTGTATACATAAGCACATCTCTTGCCCAAATAGAATTCAGTTTCATCTCGGGCATAAACACCTTCAATTTTAAGAAGAGCTGTGTGCTCTCTTTGGTTCCGGAGACCGCGCTTATAGCCAGCAAAAATGGCCTTCGACCACAGCCTAAGACACACAAGATACATAACATTAAACGTAAGCTTCAACAAACGCTGGTATAACTTGACTTGTAATAACCCCCTGCCAAAGTTATCTGTAGCTAACATTTAATTTTTTCCCAACAATTTTAAGTTCTCATTTACGAACGTTCACGTTTTATGATCAAAATATGATCAAACCGCAAAGCAACCGTATTTAAAATGCGTACCTTCCAGACATATTTGCCTTCTAGAAGTCTTGTTCCCAGGAGACCTTAAAACAAAAACACTCAGTTTAAAACCACGCAACGCAAGTTTCTCACCTTGTTCTCTCTCGTTTAAGCCTGTTAGGCAAATTCTTTTATGAACGGCATTTCAAGAGTACAGAGCAAGGTAATTATACCGTAACATCTACATATATCGCAGAATGTGGCAAGACATCCAAACCTCAGAGAATGGCTGATATTTAAGCAAACTGCACAATGAAAACAAAAACCAAGTGGTAAGACTGTACACTAAACCTCCAAAACGAAACCCTGAGAAGATTTATGCCATTACCAGACAAAATTCAGGGGGAAAAAAATGAAACTTTATCAAGCAGGTTGAGAAGCACGCAAGACTTTATAAATGGCTAAGGAAGAAAAAGCTTATGAAAGAAGACTGTAGACAAGCAAAGTGAGGTTTGGAATGGGGAAAAACTCAGCCTAATGGAACCACTGCTTCCTGGGTAACTGAAAACGAACAAAGTGCACCCATTTCACTCCGCTCAGGCCCAGGAACTAATTCTGATTGCCGTTCCAGGGAGTCGGGGAACTAGCACCATCAGTCTCGTATCTCCTCCATCCTGTCCTCCCTCTTCCTGAAGCCCACAGAAATCACTGGCCAGCAGAGATTCCAAGGCGCACGGGTGCCTTGCCAACGTATATGGACGAACCCTCCCCAATTATTTGCCCACAAAGTTCAGCAGCAGTCGCTTCACTCACCTCCACAGGCTCCAAGATGGCGGAAAGAGAAACGCGAGGCCCCGCTGCGTGGCCTTCTGGGAAAAATGCCTTTCCGCCCCGCCCCTCGTTTAGGCATCTTCCCTAACCGCCAGAAAAACAAGCTTCAGAAATCGTCTTTGGACTGAAAGAAGCCGCATTCAAACTCACTCTTACAATTCTTTTCCTATGTCCATGCATCTTTGTAAGCTGCAACATATATTATTTGGAAACAGAGGAAGGCAGAAGTAGTAGCCAGCTAAAGAAGAGAAAAGAGGAAACGGTCCTCCAAAGCTGTGGGTTGTCATGGAAACGTTTTAGGATGCGCTTGATTCCTGTGTCCAAAGGTGCTGTAGGTGGAAAGGCTTTAGCTCGACTAGAGGACATTACCCCCACCACTCCCAACCTCGCCCTCAAGATTGATTCGCGAACATGGAGGTGTTTTACCCTCGTACCACACAGGAATAGGAAAAACGGAGATTCCTGGATCCCACCTCGCCTGGAAGAGAAAGGCCGGGAACACGAAGGCAGGAGTTGTTCCTTCTCGTTAACTATTCTTATTTCCTTCTTTCCACTCGTCTACTTTTTAAAAAATCTCTTTTTTAAAAAATGACTTAAGTTCTTACCTCCATTATTCTCTTTGACTCCAAGGGGGAGGAGGACTTCTGAGGAGACTCAATCGCCTTTTTAGGATAACTTTTTCAGCTGCCAAACTGACACTCTCCAGGAGCCCAGCACCAGGCCCGCGCATAACAGGTCTTCAATAAATACTTGTAGACTACAATGAGGTGTATTAGGGGACGCCAGAGATGTGCATTTCCTAATTATTGCACATTTATTTGTGGTTGTCCTATCGATTCATTCATCTGTTCAACAAATAGTTTAATGAATCACTGCCACATACCAAGATTTGTTGCAGTCTTGAATGGCGCTGCAGTAAACAAAACAAACAAATCTTTGCCCTAACGGAGCTTAGATCCTACTACGGGAAACAAGACAATGAGCAGGTAAAATATATGACATATAGAAAAATTAAGCAGAGGCGCCACTATTAAAGAGCCTTTAAAAAAATTTGAGATAGGAAGCCATTGAGAGTTCTGTACAGAGGAGTGACTCGATCTGACTTTCATTTTAACAGGGTCACTCTGTTGAGACAAAGTAGGCAAGGGCACCAGCAGGAATATCAGTTAGGAGGCTCCTGTAATAAACCTAGTGAGAGACGATGGAGACAGGGGCGATGAATATTGGAATTCTGAATATGTTTAAATTCTGACAGGTTTTGCTGATTAATGAGGAATGAGAGAGGAGTAAAGGATAACTGCAAAGTTTTGTGACATAGATGTATGTAAGTCACATTTTAAATCAGATCTTGCTGAGTGTGGTGGCTCATGCCTGTAATCCCAGCACTTTGGAAGGCCAAGGCAGAGGAATTCTTCAGACCAGGAGTTCGAGACCAGCCTGGGCAAAACACATGAAGACCTCATCTCTACAAAAAAAAAATATTTAAATAGATCAGAATAGAGCTTGCACCTTGTAGCCCACTATCACATCCAATTTTCTCTGTCCCAGAAATGTACTAGAAATTTCACTATTAGAGATTCATTAATCCAGGTACTAAATGTAAGTCCTCCTGGGAGGAATAACACATTAAATGTGATTTTCATTCATTTGTTCATGCATTCATTCCACATGAATGAATACTTACTCAGCATAGTACCTGAAATTTAGAATACAATAATGCTCATCACTGTCATGGTCCCAGCTTTCATGGAACTTAACAGTCTGCTGGGGAGAAATTGACATAATCATTACAAATTGTGAGGAGAGGCCGGGCGCGGTGGCTCACGCCTGTAATCCTAGCACTCTGGGAGGCCGAGGTGGGCGGATTGCTCAAGGTCAGGAGTTCAAAACCAGCCTGAGCGAGACCCCGTCTCTACCATAAAAATAGAAAGAAATTAATTGGCCAACTAATATATATAATATAAAAATCAGCCGGGCATGGTGGCTCGTGCCTGTAGTCCCAGCTACTTGGGAGGCTGAGGCAGGAGGATCGCTTGAGCCCAGGAGTTTGAGGTTGCTGTGAGCTAGGATGATGCCACGGCACTCACTCTAGCCTGGGCAAGAAAGCGAGACTCTGTCTCAAAAAAAAAAAAAAAAAAAAAAAAAAATTGTGAGGAGAGCTCTGCAAGAAAATAAACAGTGCCCTGGTGCTTGAACTGAAGAAGTGGTATCCAGCCTGATGAGTCAGGGAAAGTATCACTTGGAGAAGTGTCATTAAGGCATTTTTCAAACTGCAGGTGATGAGCCATTTGTAGATAATGATCATAATACTTTTTAAAACAAAATATGATAGAATCAAAATATCAGAGTGTTATGACATATGGTAAGTGAAACATATTTTATGAAACTTATATTTCAGTTATTTGTGTGTGTACATATATATATTTATATAAATGTATATATGTACTAGGTCATTGTAACAGCCCTGGAAGAAAACAATTGTCAGAGTTGAGAGTTTGTATCTGTATACAAAGGTAAACCAGGAGTGAAACTACAAGGTATGATGCAGTCTCCAGGGACATGGGGAAGAAATAGTTACTTGAGCCCAGAGAGAGAGAGTAATTTGGCGAGAGTTGCCTGACAGGATCTGTCTTTTGATAGAGGAACATAGCCAACCAATAATAATCCATCAGAGAGAGAGAGCTGGGAGAGTAAATATCTTACTTTAATAAATAAGTAAATACCTGGACTCTCCCATTGATGCACTCCATATGGGTCAGTCTCTCAGATCACAGAAAATGGTGGAGATTGGATCCAAAGGGGCAAATGACAGTTACCTAGAAAAAATGACTTTTTAAGCTGGTACCTAATGGATAAGTGGGACTTTACAAAGTGAAAAGGTGAGGGGAAAGTGGTTCAAGTGGGAGAGATAGCCTGTGCAAAGACCCTGAGTTGGAAGATAGCATGATTCCATAGAACTAAGAAGCTCATTGAGGGTAGAACCAAGAGAGCAAGAAAAGGGCTGTTCTAGGTGGGTCTGGAGAGGAACAGAGGGGGCCAAGTTAAGAATATTGGTCTTTGTCCCAAGGCAATGGGAAACCATTGAAGAATTTTAGGAGAGACATGATCAGATTTTTAAATTTTAAAAGATCACTCTTTTATTTTAAAAAGATCACTTCCAATTTGGAGGCTGTTAGACTAGTTCAAGAAAAAAACAGCTACTAGACCCAACATAGTGCTGGAAGATATGGAAATAAAAGGTAAAATCCACAGGACTTGGTGATGGTTTGGATTAGGGGGAATGCTGATGTTGAGATGAAGGAGGTGGCAGGAGAGACTTCTGGGTTTCTAGCATTAGAATTGAGAAGCTAAAACACCATGAAAATGCTACATTCTACATGAACATAGCCCAATCTTACCTATGTGAATCACCTTTACCTATGCCCCAAGCCTAAAGGAGTGGAAAAACAAACAACATAACAAACACAATTCTGCTTAATATCATGCTCCTTCCTTCTAAGACTTACCTGGCTATTGGGGGCTGATTCTGGTGTTATACCTCATACTAATCACTCACTATAGCCTATAATGTATGTGTGTTGCATGACGCAGTGGTAGCCAACATTTTCTTCATACACGGTTACTGCCTTGGGACGTAACAAGAGGCCTGAGTTTCTGTACATAAGCAAATGTTGCCCAGCTGCCACACGGTGGGCCCCCGTGGTGGGAGTCTGGAGGCCATAAAGATTAGAAGAACATTCCCAAGGTCCAGCCCCGTCAGATGGTTGGTAGTCAATGACGGGTAAGACTCCTCAAGGGAGGAGCAACCTATGACAGACGAAACCATGGGGGTCAGCGGTTGGCTGGGAAAGATCACAAGAAGTTCTTCTGATGGCTGCATTGTTTAATGTTGCTTATCTCGGCCTTGGTTTTTGAGTTATGTCTGGCGCTGGTGCCTCAAGTAACCATTTCGAGGTCTGAGACCATGGGAAATAGTTCCCTTGTGAAACATCTCCAGAATTGATAGTTATTGCTGCTATGCTCAGATGCTCATGTACAAGGAACTAATCTTGGGTCTGGGGGGATAAAAATAAAGCAACTGGTGCATTAAGCACTCGAGTCATGTATTGTCCATGTGTGTCTGTGTCATTATTTTATGTTCTGTGTCCATCCCCCGTCCTGTAATCAGGCCACATCACCTGGCATCAGAAAATTTGGCTAGTTTAGAGTATCTTGTTTCAAGTTTACACAAATATTCTGTTATATATGTTTGAACTTTTGCATATCAGATTTTTCTTGTGTGAGACATACTTTCACCACCTCTCTCAGGGATATTTAATACTTTTCTGTGGACAAAATCACACTGGAAACTTAACATTCACTAGTCATTTACTATAAAGCAAAATTCTCCATGGTGGTCTCATTGTAAAGCTAATTTAAGCAGAAAGGGTTTTAGTTTACTCAGGAGGGGTAACATCTTACTAGCAGCATTAAACTGATTTCCAGGAGTTAATAGTTTTTCTAAATGTAATCTCATTTGTTCTTATAAGTCCAGGTGCAACAAATTCTGTTATCTGGCAGATGAGAGGAATGATGTGATCTAATTAAATATTATAGTAATTAGAATGATAGAAAAATATGTTGTATAGAGATTACCAATGAAAAATCAGAATGCAATAAAACACATTAACAGCTACTCAGGAGGCTGAGGTGGGAGGATAGCTTGGGGCCAGGAGTCTGAGGCAGCAGTATGTTTATGATCATGCCTGTGAATAGCCACTGCAATCTATGCTGGGCAACATAGCAAGAACCCATCTCTAAGAAAATTTAAAAATTAAAAAAAACCTGAAACCATGTTGGACATTAATTTACCTTAAGAAGAGGCTCAAAAGGTGCATGTGTCTTCAGGTTTGGTAGACTACTTACTGTGTTCCCCCTCATCAGTGGTTGTTTCCTCTCCGGGACTACTCTACTAAGTGAAAAGAGGGGATAAGCCACAGCTCTTGTCATTCTTTAATTTTCTCTTACTAAAAGGGCATCAAAATAACTCATACATCATTTAGGACTCCCTTAAACTAATCCCAGTGTTCTTCCCATTTTAGGTGACTGCATTTTTGTGAGATTATAAATACACCATGGAGGATAACAAAACTAACTCTGGAAGAATGGAAGAGTATGTTCAAAATTCTAATTTATATTGTATATATATATTTTATTTTTTTTATTTCCCTTTCATATATTGTATATATATATTTTAAATTATGCCTTCTGTTAAATTTCATCTATTACTTGCCTATTGCTGTATAACAGATCACCCCAGAACTTAGTGACTTAGAATATAAACATTTATTATTTCACACAGTATCTGTGGGTCAGGAGTTTGGGAACAGTTTAGCTGGATGGTTCTGGCTTGGGGTCCTTCATAAGGTTGAAGTTGGCCAGGGACTGCAGTTTTCTGAAGACTTTTTTTTTTTAATCTTTTTTTTTTTTTAATTTCAGCATATTATGGGGGTACAAATGTTAAGGTTCCGTATATTGCCCATGCTTCCCCTCCCCCTTCAAGTCAGAGCTTCAAGGGTGACCATCCCCCAAATGTTGCACATCTCACTCATTGTGTTTGTATATACCCATCCTTATCTGAAGACTTGATGGGGACTAGAGGATGCACTGCCAAGATGGTTAATTTACAGAGCTGGCAAGTCGATGCTGGCTACTGGCAAGAGGCCTTCATTCCTCCCCTTCATGGATATCTCCATAGTACTGCTTAAGCGTTCTCATGACAAGGCAGCTAGCTTCCTTCAGAGTGAGAGATATGAAAGAGTAAGGCAGAAGCTGCAATATCTTTTATCACCTAGCCTTGGAAGTCACACTCTGTCATTCCCATAATATCCTTTTGGTTACATAGGTTAGTTCTAGTCAATGTGGGAGAGACTACACAATTGTATGAATACCAGGAAGTGAGAATCATTTGGGGCAACTTTGAAGACCGGCTACCACATTCTGTTTTTTACTAATCATGAGTCACTTTTGCTTAGCAACTAAAGTTGTTTCTAAAAAAAAAAATTAATTTTGGCTCAAATTCAACTTAGTTAAGCATCGCCAATAGCATGGGCTACATATCTTTATTAAATGGTTAAGTAGGCCGGGCGTGGTGGCTCACACCTGTAATCCTAGCACTCTGGGAGGCTAAGGTGGGAGGATCACTCAAGGTCAGGAGTTCGAAACCTGCCTGAGCAAGAGCGAGACCCTTTTTCTACTAAAAATAGAAAGAAATTAATTGGACAACTAAAAATATATATTAAAAATTAGCCAGGCATGGTAGTGCATGCCTGTAGTCCCAGCTACTCGGAAGGCTGAGGCAGAAGAATTGCCTGAGCCCAGGAATTTGAGATTGCTGTGAGCTAGACTGATGCCATGGCACTCTAGCCAGGGCAACAGAGTGAGACTCTGTCTCCAAAAAAAAACCAAAAAAAAACCAGTTAAGTTGTTTACTTTTCATTGGTCAAAATAGAAGGTATATGCAAAATCACATGTAAATTCTAGCTTTTGTTTTTCATTTAGGTTATATTATATGATAATATGAACTTCACAGAAGCCAGTCTAAGTGCTGCCTGTGCTTTTGAATTTAAGTAATATTTAAATGATGGTCATTGACTTATTTTTTTCTTTATCCTTTCCTTAGAGGCAGTCTGGAAACCTTGAACCTTCCTCCAAATCCTTCGCATTCTGAGATGATGGTGTCAGTGACTGGTGAACCACCTACTGCTGCAGAAGAAGTAACAGCTGTATGTACAGATGTAGAAATCATCCCAGAAATCATAGAGCCACTCTCCCTTCCAGATATGCTGAGGATCTCTGCAGTTCTGGAGGATACCGTAGACCAGCTCTCTATTCTAAACTATATCATGCCAGTTCAATATGAAAGAAGAACAAGTATCTTCATGGTATATACTCACTCACCATTTAACTTTGCTTTCTTTCCTTTATATTTCCTTTATACCTATGCCTTAAATTTCACTTGAGAAATAGCACTTTTATCTCAGATAAAGGGCTACAGTAACTATCTGAGATGTGTACTCTCAATTGATGGAATGAAACTGCCATAGCTCAGTGTACATTACCAGGCAGAATATCCTTTTCTGATATGTTGACATTATTCAAAAGGCCTATAGTTAAATCAGTATAAATGCAGTATATATACTGAGGAGATCAAATTAACTGAGTTTTCCTACCTACCTTGTATTTCTCACCTGCTAAATGCTAACAACACTAGGGGTAGGAAACTCAACTCAATCTTCTCAATATTACTTTAATCTAAAATGACTTTGCTTCTGCAACAGGTATTCCCACTTAAAAAAAAAGACTGTTGTCATTGCTGACTATGTTGCAACCTGCCTTTCTGAATGTCCAGCCATATTATTGTATTAACCATTACATTTTTTTTTTTTTGAGACAGAGTCTCACTTTGTTACCCAGGCTAGAGTGAGGGCCATGGCGTCAGCCTAGCTCATAGCAACCTCAAACTCCTGGGCTCATGCGATCCTCCTGTCTCAGCCTCCCAAGTAGCTGGGACTACAGGCATGTGCCACCATGCCCGGCTAATTTTTTTTTTTTGTATATATATTTTTAGTTGTCCAATTAATTTCTTTCTATTTTTAGTAGAGACGGGGTCTTGCTCAGGCTGGTTTTGAACTCCTGACCTCGAGCAATCCACCCGCCTCGGCCTCCCAGAGTGCTAGGATTACAGGCGTGAGCCACTGCGCCCGGCCTTAACCATTACATTTTTAATAATGTTTGGGCTCTTCTGCAAAGTACCACTAGGTTATCAAAAAAATTTAACTTGGTCTGTAAGCTGGAGATCCTTGGAAAAAAGTAAACAAAAGAAAGAAAGAAAGAAAGAGAGAAAGAGAGAAAGAGAGAGAAAGGGAAAGGAAAGGAAAAGAAAAAGAAAAAGAAGAAAAGAAGCCTTAACTTGGTAGTGAGCGAAGTCCTTATAAATAATTTTTTAAAAACAGGGTCTTGCTATATTGCCCAGGCTGGTCTCGACCTCCTGATCTCAAATGATCCTCCCATTTCAGCTCCCAAAGCACTGGGATTACAGGTGTGAACCACCATGCCTGGCATAAATTTTTAAATTTCAGTACCTTTGCTTGTAGATATAAAATGCAAACAATGTGTAAATACAAATACACATTTATCAAGTTTCAAAAAATATTATAATTTTATATAAAATGTATTATTATTTCTGATTCTATGACAAATGAAAATTTCTTTATAAATGAGAGGGTAAATTGCTTTTCATGTCTAACAGAAAGAAGTCTGTATTTATTAAGAAAATTAAATTTTCCTTTAATTGTCTATACAAGTTAAAAATTTCTTTTGTTATTACTATTATGTATATAGCCTGAGTTCTTAAAGTTTTTATTAAAGCTTAAAAGTTTATATAAGATTTTAATAGGTCTGGGCATGGTGGCTCAGGCCTATAATCCTTCCTCTTTGAGAGACCAAGGTGAGAGGATTTCTTGAAGCTAGGAGTTCAAGACCTGCCTGAGCAAGAACTAGACCTATCTCTACTAAAAATAGAAAAATGAGCCGGACATGTCATGTGTAATCCCAGCTACCTCAGAGGCTGAGGCAGGAGAATCTCTTGAGCCCAGGAGGTTGAGGTTGCAATGAGCTATGCTGACACCATTGCACTCTAGCTCAAGCAACAGAGCAAGACTCTCTATCTCCAAATTTAAAAAAAAAAAAAAAAGGTGTGCCTCATGCCTGTAAATCCTAGCACTTTTAGAGGCTGAGGCTGGAGGATCACTTGAGGTCAGGAGTTTGAGACCAGCTTGAGTGAGACCCAGTCTCTACAAAAAATAGAAAAATTAGCTGGGCGTGGTGGTACATACCTGTAGTCCCAGTTACTTGGGAGGCTAAGGCAGGAGGATCACTTGAGCCCAAGAGTTTGAGGTTGCAGTGAGCTATGATGACTCCACTGCACTCTAACTTGTGTGACAAAGTGAGACTCTGTCTCAAATATAAAATAAGATAAAATGAAATAAAACACTGGGTTTGCGGTCAGGTTTAGCTGTGTGCTGTAAGCAATTCATTTTACTTTCTTGGTCTTAGTTTTCTCATTTGTAAATTGTGACACAGTTTTAACAAAATGACATATAGGTCCCTTCCTATGCTAACATTCTGTGAGTTTGGGGGTAGTATTAAAATGACATAATTATAATAGGAATTGTATAATGTAAATTAACTTCCTTATCAAATTATGAAGATTAAATCGATTAGAACTCAAGAACTAAGTCTTTCCATGCATTTAAAATAAGAGTCTAATCTTAAATTAAGCAAGCTAACAAATAGTATAGAAGAGACATGGTGTATTCTTCCTATTATGTCCTTCAGTAAGAATCAAAAATAAGATGGGAAGACAGTCAGTTGACAAATGAAGTCCTATCAATGATATTTGCTATCAGTCTTTAAAAAAAGTAATTCGAGGCTGGGCGCAGTGGCTTACGCCTGTAATCCTAGCACTTTGGGAGGCCGAGGCGGGCAGATTTCTCAAGGTCAGGAGTTCGAAACCAACCTGAGCCAGACCCCGTCTCTACCAAAAATAGAAATAAATTAATTGACCAACTAAAAATATATATACAAAAAATTAGCCGGGCATGGTGGCGCATGCCTGTAGTCCCAGCTACTTGGGAGGCTGAGGCAGTAGGATTGCTTGAGCCCAGGAGATTGAGGTTGCTGTGAGCCAGGCTGACGCCACGGCACTCACTCTAGCCTGGGCAACAAAGTGAAACTCTGTCTCAAAAAAAAAAAAAAAAAAGTAATTCGCCATCATAGAAACTCAGGAGAGAATTAAAAGAAGCTAAATTGTTCAGCATCTGTCACTCTTCCAGTATATAAAAGAATGAAACTTTTGCACTGTTTTATTTTGGTTTATGATAGTGATCTTTCAACCAAAAAATTTTCTGACTTAATAGAAACCCTCTCATGATTTTATAGTGTAAAAAGTAAACCCTTGCACTATTGTGTTGATTATTAGCAGTTTAAAAACTCCTTTCTCAATGTTAGTTATATACCTTTTAAAAATTGTGACTCTCTTAAAAATTTTTGTTTTTTACTTCATGAAACTATAGTTGTTCTAACTCATGAATCTTAAGATGCCATTGCCCTATAAAGCATAGGATATATAATTATTATTATTTTTTAAAGGCAAGGTCTTCCTGTATTGCTCAGGCTGGCCTGTAACTCCTAGGCTCAAGCAATTTTCTAGCCTCAGACTCCTAAGTAGTTGGGATTATAGGTGATCACCACCATGCCCAGCTAGGATATATGTATATTAATTAATTAATTAATTAATTTATATTTTAGAGACCAGGTCTCACTCTGTTACCCAGGCTGGAGTGCAGTGGTGCAATAATAGCTCACTGCAGTCTTGAACTCCTAGAATATATATTTTATTTTTTTACTCATGAGGTAGAACAGCAATAGAATATATATTTTAAAACCTTAATATGTATATGGATGTTTTCTTTCCCCAAAGGCTTTATATTATTCAGCCTTATAACAACCTTGGGAGGAAGGGTTTATCCCACTATTATACCTATTTTTACAGGTAAGGCCATTTCCAGATAGATTTTCATTTACTAGAATTATGAAGTGGGATGCATGGGTTTGGATTTATGACAGGCCCATCCCCCTGGGCCTCTCATAGTGCCCCATGCCAGAGCAAACTGTCACCCTAGACCAATGTCTGGTCTCTGTGCCTATAGGCTGCTGGTGCTGAAGCGGGTTGAAGAGTAGATAAAAGAAAAAAGAATTATGATGTAGAATAGTGAAAATTATATTAAAGTACCAGGTTCTACCAGAAGTGGGATGATTTGAGCAAAGTTTGGAAATAACTTTCTTTCAGGGAATACTGTTTTTCCCTTAGGGTCTAATGCCCTACCTTGTACATAGTGTGTGCTATATAAAAATACTTTTTAGTGAATGTACTAGAACATTTAGTAGGCTTCTTTAATTATCACGTAAAAATTCACATTTTTTTGTCTCAGTGTGCCAATGTGTAGAAAAAAAAGAAAAAGAAATTTTTTTAAAAATTCACATTTCCCTCTTGTAATCAGTAAATCAGGCCATAAGTCACATTTGCTTCCTTTTCCCAATGCCCAAACATAAAGGTAGAGAAGTAATAAATTGTTAGGTAAATCAGAAAATGGGGCCTCCTAGGCCTTACATTTTCTCCATAATCTCCTTAGACAAAATCTAAAATAATAACCATCCGTTTTACCAATGGGAAAATGGAGGCACAGAGATGTTAAATAGTTGCCTAAGGTCAATATAGTTTAGTATGAGATAGAGCTGGATTCAAACATGGCTTCCAAGTTCACATGTGTAGTCACTATATTATATGGCCTCTCAATGGCTCAAGCTTTTACCCACATATTAAATAGGAATCATCAATTAAAAGACATGTGCTAAGGCCGGGCGTGGTGGCTCACGCCTGTAATCCTAGCACTTTGGGAGGCCGAGGCGGGCAGATTTCTCAAGGTCAGGAGTTTGAAACCAGCCTGAGCGAGACCCCGTCTCTACCAAAAATAGAAATAAATTAATTGACCAACTAAAAATATATATACAAAAAATTAGCCGGGCATGGTGGCGCATGCCTGTAGTCCCAGCTACTCGGGAGGCTGAGGCAGTAGGATCACTGAGCCCTGGAGATTGAGGTTGCTGTGAGCCAGGCTGACGCCACGGCACTCACTCTAGCCTGGGCAACAAAGTGAGACTCTGTCTCAAAAATAAATAAATAAATAAAAGACATGTGCTATTCCCATGGTCCCTTAGTATTCAAGTTTTGGTCTGAAAAGGAAAGTATTTTGGCTTTTCCCTACATGACCCTCAAAATCTATACCATATTACTAAGTCTATCAACTTCTGCTTTTTGGTATGATTCTCCTTTTATTTTTTATATTTCAAATTCATGGGTTCAATAAACTTTTTTTTTTTTTGAGACAGAGTCCTGTTTTGTTGCCCAGGATAGAGTGAGTGCCATGGTGTCAACCTAGCTCACAGCAACCTCAAACTCCTGGGCTCAGGCAATCCTCCTGCCTCAGCCTCCCAAGTAGCTGGGACTACATGCATATGCCACCATGCCCGGCTGATTTTTTCTATATAATTTTGGTTGGCCAATTAATTTCTTTCTATTTATAGTAGAGACGGGATCTCGCTCTTGCTCAGGCTGGTTTCGAACTCCTGACCTTGAGCAATCCGCCTGCCTTGGTCTCCCAGAGTGCCAGGATTACAGGCGTGAGGCACCTCGCCGGCCTTTAATAAACATTTGAGTCTCTACTATATTCTAGGCATTGTTCTAAGCAATGGGACTATAAAGATGGCCGAGTTTATTTAATATCCAATCTTTTTCCAAAAATAATTTGAGACTAGCCTTAAAAAATTTTGTTTTTGGAGTGAACTAAGATCTCTAAGACACTGCCCCTTGCCTCATAGAACTCCCAATTTGCTGGAGATATTTCACAAATAATTACAATGTGATAGATGCCTGGTAACAGACCTATTTCACAAAGAACTTTACCTTTGATCAGAGTCTTAAAGATTACTAGGTGGGAGGCCGGGCGCGGTGGCTCATGTCTGTAATCCTAGCACTTGGGAAGCCGAGGAGGGCGGATTGCTCGAGGTCAGGAGTTTGAAACCAGCCTGAGCAAGAGCAAGACCCCGTCTCTACTATAAATAGAAAGAAAATGAATTGGCCAACTAATATATATAGAAAAAAAAATTAGCCGGGCATGGTGGCACATGCCTGTAGTCCCAGCTACTTGGGAGGCTGAGACAGCAGGATTGCTTGAGCCCAGGAGTTTGAGGTTGCTGTGAGCTAGGCTGATGCCACGGCACTCACACTAGCCTGGGCAACAAAGCGAGATTTTGTCTCAAAAAAAAAAAAAAGATGGCTGGGCGCGGTGGCTCATGCCTGCAATCCTAACACTCTGGGAGGCCGAGGCGGGCGGATTGCTTCAAAGTCAGGAGTTCGAAACCAGCCTGAGCAAGAGTGAGACCCCCCCCATCTCTACTCTAAATAGAAAGAAATTAACTGGCCAACTAATATATAGAAAAAATTAGCCGGGCATGGTGGCGCATGCCTGTAGTCCCAGCTACTTGGGAGGCTGAGGCAGCAGGATCGCTTGAGCCCAAGAGTTTGAGGTTGCTGTGAACTAAGCTGATGGCATGGCACTCACTCTAGCCTGGGCAACAAAGCGAGACTCTGTCTCAAAAAAAAAAAAGATTACTAGGTGGTAAGTTTGAGAATGATGAAGAGGGGGAATGTTGTGTGAAAGCAAGAAGAAATAAAACAGCAAGATATATAGTTTGGTGTGGCTGAAGAAAGAGCTACATTTTCTTGGAGTATGGTGTACAAGTCAGAGAAGATGAGATTGAAAATGTGGACGGGGCCCTCTTATATTAATGTCTTTTGATTTTTTTAAAAAAATCTTTCTTAACATCATTTCTTGTTTTAAAAGAAAAACAAAGAAATGAATTCAGAGAGGAAAAGCTTAGAAAAACTTCCAATGGCCTCAACTATCTCGAAAGTACCTAAAGAAGGACCCAAGTTGCCAGAAATCAAACAAGGAGGCCTAGATTTTAACAAAATGCAGGAATTTATCCTCAAAAAACCTACAAAGCAGTCCTTAATAACTATGGAGACACTGAAGAAAATTCAGATGGACAGGTAAGGAAGGAGCATATTTGACAATGTAATGATGCATTTATACATAGATAAGAAAATGAGTGCAAGGTTGACTGATGGCTCTTTTCTCTTATGGGTTAGTCATTACTTTATATCCAAAATGACTGCTGGGAATAGGATTAGCTAAAGACTGGCTACAGGCAGTGTGGTACAATCTAAAGCATGGCAGCTATGGGATCCTGGACAGTTATTAAGCTTTTGTTTCCAATTTTTATTTTTTAGAGCTGATGTCTTGTTATGTTGCTCAGGCTAGAATGCAGTGGTTATTCACAATCAGGATCATAGCTCATTGCAACCCTTGAATTCCTACCCTCAAGCAGCCCTCTTGTGTAGCTGGGACTATAGGCATGCTCCATGCACGGGTGTTTCCAATTTTAAAAAACAAGACTACTAATAGCAATCTTGTAACATTCTTGTAAGAATTAAAAGTAAGGCACTAGCCTATTACCTGGCACACATTGGTAGCTATTGTGATGCTTTATCCATTAATAAGAAACAGCTACTATCAAACTAGCCAAATTCTAAATTGTATTTTAATCCTGAGGGTTTCTTAAAGGCAGATGCAATTTCCATTGTCCATTATTCAGTTTTTTCTTTTCAACTGGCTTGCTAACAAAGAAGCCTGTTAAGTTTAAAAGAGGGTGTAATGTCGTGGCCCATTTACAGGATGGAGGATGAACACAGAACACAAAACACAAATGCAGAACACAAAGAAAAACGCGGACACACATACAGATGGTTGACTTGAGTAATAATACACCGAGTCAGTTTTATTTTTATACTTAAAAAATTTAAAGTTAGTTCCTTGTACGTAACCACCCAGGCATTGCAGCAATGGCCATAAATTCCAGAATACGTAGCCTTAGGGAAGCAGATATCCCCTGGCTCAAGGTTTCCAGGTGGTTGCTCTAGGCACTAGGCATAGATCATGGACTGAGATTAGCAAGGATGGGCAAGGCAAGTCACAGGGGGCATTTCTCATCCCCATCTTTTCTTAGGGCGATCCCCCTAAGATCTTCAGCTGAACCCTGGTGGCTGTGTGTGGCTTAGGTCGCCCCTCCCTTGAGGGGTCTTACCCATCATTGACTAACCAGCCATCTTATGGGGTGTACACAGCAATCACAGGAATAATGTGTTTATTGTGTGGCCTCCAGACCCCCAATGCCGAGGGGTGAGGTAGCTCTTGCTAACTTGCAACTCAGGTCCTTTGTTATGCCTCTAGGCAACACCTTGTTTTTGTTATGCCTCAAGGCAATAGGGGCCTTGTCCGGAACATATTACTTTTAAATGCTCTGGGCAGAGCACGTACATTACTAAATTTAATTCTTAAAAAAAGGAAAATATATGTCAGTCCTCTACAGTGTAACATTAATGTAAGGACTTTTGATAAATGAGAGTTTAAAGCAATTACCTAAAGTCCGTTTTTGAAAAGTTTTATTGGACCACAGCATTGCCCATTTGTTTACATATGGTTTATGACTGCTTTCATGCTACAGTGGCAGAATTGAGCTATAAAAGTGAATTTACGGCCTACAAAGCCCAAAATATTTACTATGTACTTGTCCATTTATAGAAAAAGTTTGCTGACCCCTTTTTTAGACCATAACCAACGGTAAGCTCTCTTACTTAAGTCAGTCTGGCCCAGATTTGCCTATGTGACTGAAGGGTATTCTGCTTATAAAATGCCCAAACTAGTTAATATCCTTTTCATTCTCAGTGTAATGACTCATGCCCTTTCCTGAGAGATCCAAAATACCAGTCTCAGGTTATTTTTAGAGCATTAATCTTAGATTAATATTCCACATGAAACCCAAGGTGATGTATAATAATGAAATGTACATCCTCACCAGTTATTCAGAATCAAAGTAGAAATCAAAATATCAAGGGCATAAAATCTATGAATTTAAAACAGTAATTTGTAGCAAGTTTGTATATGCTTTCCTTGCTATTGGTCATCTTTATGCATTATAATCTTATTGTACTTAATTAAGAATTTTAAATTATTTATCATAAAAAATACTATCAAAAGACAAAATTACAACAAATTTAGTTTAAAGATCTTAACTGGCTTTTATTTGTGATTCTAGAATCAGGCAACCCCTCATTCTATAAAATGGGACTGTTTCCATGAGCTGAACCTAGGAAGTTGGGTTTATTTATTTATTTCGAGACAGAGTCTTGCTCTGTAACCTGGGCTAGAGTGCCATAGCATCAGCCACCCAAGTAGCTGGCATTACCATGCCTGGCTAATTTTTTCTATATATATTTTTTAGTTGTCTGGCTAATTTCTTTCTATTTTTTTAGTAGAGACAGGGTCTCACTCTTGCTCAGGCTGATCACGAACTCCTGAACTTGAGCTGATACCAGACCCTAATGACCCTGATGTAAGAAGTAGACCACCAAGGATGCAAGAATTACTAAGCAGGATGTCTTACAAACTGTTTGTGCTTTCTGTGACAGAAAATTATGATTAACCTTTATGGGCTGACCTCAAGACAATGTTGGTCATGAACAGGGTTTCTAGACACATAAAAATGTTATTATTGCCCTGTAAGGTGTCCCCCTCCTGCTCGGAAAAGGACCCCTACTCTGTGGAGTAGGATCTGTTGTCTGTGAACTTTCTGTTGCTAGTTAGCTTGCAATAAATAAATAAATCTTTCCAGTGCAAAGCCAAGAACCCATTTGTGAGTTTAGAGGACCTTCCTCCCTTCATTGGAGCACCCCCCACATCACTGGAATTATAGGCGAACTTTTTTTTTCTTAATACAGTTATTGAACCTTTTTATGTGAACTATTGTTAAACAATTGCTATGTAAAATATTAAGTATAATTCTTGCAAACTCTATATCAAAACATAATAGTTTTAAAAAAACATTAAAAATAGTTTTTTAAAAAACAGTAGTTTTTAAACTATTGTTTCACTTAGGAGAATATTATAAAGAACACTGGAAAAAAAAAAAAAAAAAAGAACACTGGACTAGGGGTCAGGAAACCTGGGTTATGTATTTCCAGTTCTTTGTCAAACTAGTTATGTGAACTTTGTTAATTGAAAAAGAACCCAAACTCTATAAGATAATTTAAAGAGATTTATTCTGAGCCGATGTTTGTAACCACAGCGTGGAGCACATGGCCTGAAGAAGTCCTGAGAAAATGTGCCCAAGGTTACAGTTTGGTTTTATATACATTCATGGAAACAGGAATTACACATAAAGTCATAAATCAATACATGGAAGATATACATTGGTTTGGCTCCAAAAGGTGGAATATTTCCAAGCAGGGGCTGGAGCTTACAGGTTGTAGGTGGGTTCAAAGATTCTTTGATTTGTAGCTGGTTAAAGAAATGAAGCCTTGTCTAAAGTTGGACTGTTTTAAGATAAGAAAGTCTGTTAATCAGAGATAAGCCAGGGACATAATACTGGATTTAAGTGATCTGTTAAGTAAATTGATAGCCTGCAAGTGTGAGTTAACCTTTGTCTTGCATGGTGTTAGGTTCTGTTAATGATTTAGTATCTGATTGTCCAACTTGTGTCCAACCTCCTTCCCTTTCTGGCCAGGAATTTGTTTTTCTGGGGTCCCCTTTAGCCAAGATTGGTGTGGGGGATTTTAGGATTTTATTTTAGTTTATACCTCGGGCAAGTCACTTAATCATCCTGAGCCTGGGTACCCATCTCTAAAATATGAAGAATTTGATTAGTTCCTTTTAAATGATTTAACCTTTTCAAAATTATGAAATATTTTAAAAATGCAGAAAAGTGTAAAGAATAAAATAATGAATACTTATGTATGTAACACCAGATTTTAACATTTTACCAGGGTTGGTTTAGAGATGTGGCTTTTTTTTTCAAAGATAAAATATTTCAGATATAATTGAAGCTTCTACTCCCAAGTCCCTTTCTGGTTTCCACAAGGATAAACACTCTTCTGAATTTGTCATATATTATTCTGTAGCATGTTGTAATACTTTCATTATTTATTTATGTGTTTTATTTAAATAATTCATGTAGTTTTAATGTTTTTAAATATTATGAGGACATTGATACTTTGAGATATGAATCTGCCAACTTCCTCATTTGCTGGCAAATTAATAAACTCCTCAAAAAATGTTATATACATGATATCATATTGTACATTGAATATTTATTGTTGTTGGTCTTTGGTATGTAAACTTTTTTTGGGTTCTGTCTAGCTTGCTAAGAGTTTTTTTGGTGTTTGTTTTTAAAAGATGAGCGGGTGCTGAATTTTGCCAAATGCATTTGTTAGGGCGGAAGCTCATGGCATGGGATGAGAAAGAATTCTCCACACAAAGATTAGGATAGAAGAGGTTTATTATACTTTTCCCCAAGAGAAAAAGGGGAAAGGGCAAAGCAGGACAGAAAGGAGTGCTTTCCCTGAGGACGAGCAGCTTGGGCTTTTTATTGTGGGTTCTAAAGAGGTAAAGAAATATTAATTGCTATAGACTGACATAGGAGACAGCTAGGAGATGTTAGGGTGTTTGGTTTTCCTTTTTTTTTTCCTTCTCCTTGAGGCTGTCTTATCAGTCTCCTCTGGAGTATGATCTGGCCGGTCTGGTCTGGTGGATGTCAAGGAGCTGTCTGTTCAGCTCTTTTCAAATGCTGTAAAAACAATCTCTTTAGGTGGTTAATCTTAAAGACAGCTAGTTAAGGCCCATGTGGTTAAACTTAAAGATAGTGAGTTAAGGTCCATGTGGTTAATCAAACTTGGGGCAATGATCTTTCTGTCTTTTTTTTTATGTTAGTTTATTAGTAATGCAATCCTTTCAGCCTTTTCTGCATCCATTGAGATGGTCATATGGTTTGTCTCCTTTAGCCTTTATTAATGTGTTTTCTAGCAATAAATTTTCTTTTTCTTAATTTTAGATTTTCTAATGCTACACTATTTTTGCATTCCTGGGATAATTTCAATTTAGTTATGGTATTCCCTCTGGGTCTTAACTTACATGACTTTTGTAGCCATTGTGAATGTAGGGAAATATAATTTATTAACTAATCTTTTTGTTCTTCTTCACAGGCAATTTTTAAGTGATGTGATTGCAAATACCATTACAGAATTGGAAGATTCATGCACTTTCACAAATCTCCTGTCAGCTTTAAGCAAAGAGAGGGAAAACAAAATGCATTTCTATGATGTCATTGCCAGGTCAGAGTAATGTTAAGTTTATTTGTTTTGTTGTATTTTGAAGTGCCATAAAACTTTTACCAGAAATCCTTGATTTCTAAAGCAAACTAAACATGTACTTTCCAGGGAAGATAGTAGAAGTCAGAAATTTGGGTTCCACTCTTAGTTCTGCTGGGACAATAACTCAGATTTCTGGGCTTTAGTTATCTTTATCTATAAAACAGTAAGAATATTCTTCCTCCTGTAATAATCTTTCTTAATATTGAGTTCACTGAAAATCCTTGAACAACAACAAAGGCGTGCTAGTTTTCTTTTTCTTTCTTTCTTTTTTTTTTTTTTTTGAGATAGGATCTCACTCTGTTGCCTAGGCTAGAGTACAGTGGCATCATTATAGCTCACTGCAACTTCAAATTCCTGGGTTCAAGCAATCTTCTTGCCTTAGCCTCTCAAGTAGCTGGGACTATGGGTGCACACCACCAGGCCTGGCTAATTTTTCTATTTTTAGTAGAGACGGAGTCTCGCTTTTGCTCAGACTGGTCTCAAACGCCTGGCCTCAAGGAATCCTCCCAGCTTGGCCTCCCAAAGTGCTAGAATTACAGGCATGAGCCACCACGCCCAGATGAATGTTTTCTTTTCTAGAGCCTTTGAACTTTATTCCAAAGATTTTCATGCTTTAAGAATATTCAACATGGCCCGGCGCAGTGGCTCATGCCTGTAATCCTAGCTCTCTGGGAGGCCAAGGCGGGCCGATTGCTTGAGGTCAGAAGTTTGAAACCAGCCTAAGCAAGAGTGAGATCCCATCTCTACTATAAATAGAAATAAATTAATTGGCCAACTAATATATATAGAAAAAATTAGCCGGGCATGGTGGCGCATGCCTGTAGTCCCAGCTACTTGGGAGGCTGAGGCAGAAGGATCGCTCGAGCCCAGGAGTTTGAGGTTGCTGTGAGCGAGGCTGACGCCACGGCACTCACTCTAGCCTGGACAACAAAGCGAGACTCTGTCTCAAAAAAAAAAAAAAAGAGGGTACAAATGTTTCTGTTACATGGGTAGCTTTTATAATGCTTAAGTCAGGGCTATTAGTTTGCCCATCACCTAAACAGTGTTCATTGTACCTGTTAGTAGGTTTTTACCCCTCCCTTTCCCCCCTTCCCCGTTCCTGATTTCCAATGACGTTTACTTCCCTCTGTGCTTATATGTGCCCATCCATTAGTTCCACCTTATTAGAGAGTACATGTAGTGTTTGTTTTTCCATTCTTGAGATACTTCACTTAGGATAATGATCTCCAGTTCCATGCATATTGCTGCAAAGGACATTAATTCTTTTCTTTTTGTGGCTGAGTCCTCAAATAAAAATAGACTAACTATTCGACCCAGCAATCCCACCTTGGGTATCTACTAATTTTCTCTTTATCAAGGGAAAAAATATACTTATTTGTAAAGATCTAAACAAAATACATATATTTTGACCCAGCATTCCTACTTCAGGGGAATCTAGCCTATAGAAAAAAAATCAGTTTGTATTAGACATATCTACAAAATATTTATTGCAGCATAATGGCAAAAATCTAGAAACAGCATAAATGTTCTTCAATAAAGGAATACTGTATTTGAGTAATTGTTAATTTTATAAGAGAAAAACAGGCTGATAGCCAAGAGGGTGTAATCATAAAAAAAAACAAAAAACAGGCTGGGCACAGTGGGTCATGCCTGCAATCCCAGCTCTTTTGGAGGCCAAGGCAAGAGAATGGCTTGAGCCCAGGAATTTGACACCAGCTCGGGTAACATAGCGAGACTCTATATCTATAAAAAACTTTTTAAAAATTAGCCAGCATGGGGGTATCCACCTGTAGTCCTAGATACTCAGGAGGCCAAGGCAGCCTGATCACTTGAGCCCAGGAGTTCAAAGCTGCAGTGAGCTATTGATACAATCATGCCACTGTCCTCCAGCCTGGGTGACAGAGCAAGACCCTGTCTCAAAAAAAAAAAAAAGAAAAAAGAAAAAAACATACAGCTATTTAAAAATATGAATTAGAGCTATATGATTGACCTGGAGGGATGTCCATTATATATAGATAAGTGAAAAAGTAGTTATAGTATGCTTTTTAATTTAAAAATATGCTCATTCATATGAGTATAAGAAAGAGAAAGATGTGGAAGGATATATATCAAAAGGTTAATATTGGTTACCTAATAGGAGTGAAATTGGGGGAGAAAAGAAAGGTGGCATATTGTCCACTTTTTTTCTTGTACATTCCTATTCTGTTTTGAAATATTATAATATACATTTATTATTTCATAATTTTAAAAAAGTTAAGTAAGAAAAGTAAATAAGAAATGTATGTGCCATTCCAGAGGAGGGAGAAAATAGTCTAATACTCAATATATACAGTTTACTAGTGATTGATTTCATCTATATGATTATCTATTTGTAATAATTTCTTTTTTTATTTTTCTTCCAATTATGTATCAATTGGGATTTATTTAAATTATAAAATTATACCTAGATTTAGACAAACCAATGATAAACAGTGGTTAGTATTTTAAGTATTACATGATTGGTACTTTTAAAGTTATGTAGAGTTTGGTGATAGGTATAAGACAGACAAGATTTTCTATTTAATTTTTTATAAGAACTTTATTGAGATATAATTAACATATTGTTACAGAAAAAATTATTCTCACACTTGTTTAAATAAGGAAGACTTTATTCAAGACTATTTCTATAGGTTTTGAAACTATAGAATAGTTTTGCAATAGAGGAGAGAGATTTGGCTCAACTCTAAATACAGCAAAGACAGCTGGGACTTAAAGCCAACTAGCAGAGTGAGGGAGTCAGTGAATGGAAAGTTACTAAGAGGACAGAAACAACAAAGATAGGAGGATTGTTGCTAAACTATTAATACTTAACAGGATTCTTTTTTTTTTTTTTTTTTTTTTTATTTATTTTTTGAGACGGAGTCTTACTTCTGTTTCCTGGGCTAGAGTGCCGTGGCGTCAGCTTAGCTTACAGCAACCTCAAACTCCTGGGCTCAAGTAATCCTCCTGCCTCAGCCTCCCAAGTAGCTGGGACTACAGGCATGCACCACCATGCCTGGCTAATTTTTTTTATATGTATATATGTATTTGGTTAGCCAATTAATTTCTTTCTATTTATAATAGAGAGAGGGTCTCCCTTTTGCTAAGGCTGGTCTCAAACTCCTGACCTTGAGCAATCCACCCGCCTCGGCCTCCCAGAGTGCTAGGATTACAGGTGTAAGCCACCACCCCTGGCCAACAGGATTCTTGCTTAAGGCAGGCCAAGGATTTAGACATTAGGGTGAGGGATGAGGAATTTGATCAGATATATGGGATGATTAGATATTGAGGGTGGAAGATTCTCTTTAAATTGACTTAGCATTTTAAATAAATAAATACATCGATTTATAAACACACCAACTTATCGGGATTCTTTCTGAAACTGGGCAATGTAGGCCTGGCAGGGATGGAGGAGAGGGGAGCCAAGGTCTAGGCATAGTAGAGAAAAGAGTCCAGAAGAGCATGATTAAAGTTTGATCAAGGAAGAGAGTCTCCGTCAACACATGAAATTCATCATTTTAAGCTGAGCTATACAGTTCAGTGGTTTTTGGTATATTCACTGAGTTGTGCAACCATTACCACTATCCAATTCCAGAACATTTCACCATCACGAAAACGGAACTCCGTACTCATTAGTGGTCACTCTCCATCCCTTTATCTTAGCCTCTTTTTTAAAAAATTGATTTCTAGTTTTATTCCATTATGGTCAGAATAGGTACTTGATATGATTTCTACTTTTTAAAATTTGTGGAGACTTGTTTTGTAGTCTAAGATATGGTCCACTCTGGAAAATATTCCATGTGCTGATGAAAAGAATGTGTATTCTCTGCCATTGGTAAAATGTTCTGTAAATGTCAATCAGGCCTGTTTGTCTCTAGTGTGCAGTTTATTTTTTTATTTTTATTTTTTTTGAGACAGAGTCTCAATTTATTGCCCAGGCTAGAGTGAGTGCTGTGGTGTCAGCCTCGCTCACAGCAACCTCAATGAGACAGAGTTCACTTTGTTGCCCAGGCTACAGTGAGTGCCATATATGCACTCACAGCAATCTCAAACTCTTGGCAACCTCAAACTCCTGGGCTCAAGCAATTCTGCTGCCTCAGCCTCCTGAGTAGCTGGGACTACAGGCATGGCCACCATGCCCGCTAATTTTCTATATATTAGTTGGCCAATTAATTTATTTCTATTTATAGAGAGATGGGATCTCACTTTTTGCTTAGGCTGGTTTCAAACTTCTGACCTAAAGCAATCGGCCCGCCTTGGCCTCCAGAGAGCTAGGATTACAGGCATGAGCCACGCGCCGGGCCATGTTGAATATTCTTAAAGCATGAAAATCTTTGGAATAAAGTTCAACCTTAGAAAGAAAACATTCATCTGCATGGTGGCTCATGCCTGTAATTCTACACTTGGGAGGCCAAGCTGGGAGGATTCTTCTGAGGCCAGGCGTTTGAGACCAGTCTGAGCAAAAGCGAGACTCGTCTCTACTAAAATAGAAAAATTAGCCGGCCTGGTGGTGTGCACCCATAGTCCCAGCTACTTGAGAGGCTAAGGCAAGAAAATGCTTGAGCCCAGGAATTTGAAGTTGCAGTGAGCTATAATGATGCCACTGTACTCTAGCCTAGGCAACAGAGTGAGATCTATCTCAAAAAAAAAAAAGAAAAAAGAAAAAGAAAAACTAGCACGCTTTGTTGTTGTTCAAGGATTTTCAGTGAACTCAATATTAAGAAAGATTATTACAGGAGGAAGAATATTCTTACTGTTTATAGATAGATAACTAAACCCAGAAATCTGAGTTATTGTCCCAGCAGAACTAAGAGTGGAACCAAATTTCTGACTTCTACTATCTTCCCTGGAAAGTACATGTTTAGTTTGCTTTAGAAATCAAGGATTTCTGGTAAAAGTTTTATGCACCTTCAAAATACAACAAACAATAAACTTAACATTAC